CTTCGCAGCGATCATAGGTTTTCCGCAGGTTGACCTGTGCTGCTTGTACATTCCGAGTAGGTGCTCTGAGTGTTGCTTTCCTTGCTGTTACTACTGGATCAGCGTCTCTGGTATCTTGAGCTCGGCGAGGTTTACGTGGTAGCAATTCCTTGCCGGTTTTGTGGACAATGTTAACAAAAGATGTGTAGTTTTGTTCAGACAGGGGTAAGTTTTCATAACGAGATTTGACTGTATCCTCTATCTTGGATGCCAGTTGCTTGTTCTTTGTAACCGCACTCCAGAAAAGCTTCTTCGAGGCTGCATTCTTTGACACTCTAAGGCTGAGTTTAACAGTGGCAGTCACAATTCGATGGTCGCTACCGACTGGGTTCGAAGAGGAGTATGCCTGGCAGTCCTTAACACTGTTGCGCCATCGTTTACGGTAAAGACCTCGCTAAATCTATCTGGGAGCGGTCACCCTTTGGTGATCGAAATGTCCAAAGTTTGCGGCTAGGTTTGCGGAAGGAGATGTTACCAACTACAAGGTTGTGTTGCTCTATAAAGGTGTTAAAGAGCAGACCGTTACGGTTTAATACCTTGTGGATGGAATGACCCTTTGCAATTTGAGCATTCATATCACCTCCTATGAATAACATGGCATGTGGCGGAATACTCTCGACTCTGTTGCTCAATTGCTCCCTGTACCTATAGCATAAAAGACGGGCATATATGAAAATACGTCACTCATAGAATCATATTTACTTCTCGTTACAAATTTTGGACATTTTTAGAGAATCAATGTCCGACGTTGACGGTCCCAACCAACGGTGCGCTCAGTACCACATCAACTTCCTACCAGACCGTGGTTACGTTCATCTGTCACACGGGTTACGTACTGAACGGTGATTCCAATACGACGTGCCAAGCCGACGGAACATGGACTAACCCTGTTCCAACATGCACACGTAAGTCAACCTACAAGCATATGCATGGTACAAAAGTAGCAAACTCTATCGAAGTATTGATTTATTTGGACTACTGCCTATCCTTGGTCATAGGTGCGTCAATTTAACGGTCAGAAATTCGTATCCAACTTGAAAGAACGGACGCAAAATGTATTAAAGCTTAAGGTTTTGTGATTTTATTTATAGCTATATGTTCGATACAAATAGTTTTTTTTTTTCATTGCAGCTGTCCAATGTCCGACTCTGACAGATCCTACTAACGGAATGCTGAGACCTACAGGAGTGATCTCCTACCCGAACAGTGTCAGTTTCACCTGTAACACGGGATATCAACTAATCGGCTTTGGTGCTGCAACGTGCCAAGCTGACGGAACATGGAGCAATTCTGTTCCAACATGCACACGTAAGACGACTTGAAAATTGTAAACGCTAAAAAAACTATCTAATTGTAATTTACTTTCTTAGGCCTACTGATGACCATCAGTGGGCATTGTTGGCCAAGACTACATCTAGTCATCTACGAATCCTACTCAACATAACTCACCCATTAGATGTTGTGATTTCATTTCGAATAAGCAATAGTTTTGTACTATTCATTTCAGCGATTCAATGTCCGACGTTGACAACACCAACTAACGGAGCTGTGAGTCCTACCGAAGTGATCGCATACCCGAACAGTGTCACCTTCACCTGTAACACGGGATATCAACTGAACGGCTTTGCTGCTGCAACGTGCCAAGCTGACGGAACATGGAGCAATTCTGTTCCAACATGTACAGGTACAATGTCTATATGCTTAATCTAGTAATGTTTATCTAATTTTAGTACAAAACCATTAACCTTATAGTAAACTAGAGTTCCCCGATCTCATACCTTCGCCAAATGATGTTAGCCTTTATGACTAAGACATTAGAGATTAATCCCCCTGATTGTGCAAATAAGATCCTACATTGCATCAATTATATCTGTTGATCATATTCTACACCAGAAGACAGTCTTGTCTTATCAAAGACTGCCATTATAGCATTTCCTCATAAATTATTCAAATGAGGTCCTTGTTTAAATAAGTTATGTTTAATTATGTTCACCTTCACATAACTTTCAAATATCTCAAGTATGAAATACCAGGCAGTTACCACTATGTAATTATAACATTTTCTCATTAATTATGCAAATTAAGTCTTCATTTGCATAATTGATATCTGCCTGTATTTCTGCTATTCTTAATTACATATGTCACAAACTTGAATAGTCCTATCATGGAATGCAGCTGATTTATAGAATTTCCTCATTAATTATGCAAATTACATTAATATTTGCATAATTGTAATATTATTATGTCAAGCATCACTTCAGCTACCTACATGCCAAAAATCACGATGATCCATCAATCGGTTCTTGAGTTATCCGCCTTTAAACATTTTTCAACTAACGCCCCTGCAGTTCCTGAGCAAGCAGCTAGGGGGCCCAAACTCACGTCACTTCTTCCCCAGCATAAGAGCTACCTACCATCCAAATTTCATCACCCTAACATGTCTAGATCACGAGATATTAAAACCAGAAGTTCAGCTGCAGTACCATAACAAGCCGCTAGGAGGCCCAAAATCTAATCAGTTCCACGTCTCATGAAGACCTATCCACCTACCAAATATCAAGACAATCCATCTTAGCCTTCTTGAGTTATCGTGCTGACACACACACACACACACACACAGACACACGAACGCCTACGAAAACATAACCTTCTTGGCGAAGGTAATGATTAAAATTTGTGGTCGTGTGAGGTAATTTCGAAAGCTTTCTGTATCCAAAAGATGATAGAAAGAATCATATAAAAGACGTCATTATTGCATATTCAATATATAGGCAGATCATGTCCTTTCGGACCACACACCTACCAAACCGTTCATGGTCAAATTTACTGCTATTACGGGAATATGTAGTTTTTACACACCTACACTAGGATGGAAGCAAAAAGATCGCTACTTATTATATTTTAAATTGGCAATCAGACCTCTTCTTACGGTAGTCGATGTCTATGAACTCAGTTCACGGAACTTGAACCTATTCTGTAGGTTTATGCCTTGTAATATCAATTCAGCACCTAGCCATACGTATACCCTACTCAACAGGAGGCACACATTTTGTTATTTCCATTACAGCAGTCCAATGTCCAACTCTGATAGCCCCGAGTAACGGAGCAGTGAGTCCTACCGGAGCGGTCTCCTACCCAAACGGGGTCACTTTCACCTGTAACCCGGGATACGTACTGAACGGCGCTGCTGCTGCGACGTGCCAAGCTGACGGGACATGGAGTAATCCAGTTCCAACATGCACACGTAAGATGACTTGCAAGTTGACACTTATCAGATAGTAAAAAAGACTATTACAAGGTGATCGTGTATGCTTTCTGTATCTAAACCATTACATGACAGACAGGCGAATTTCAAAAGACACAATTTGAAACATCTTTAATTTTTGTAGATGTCTCCATAATAACAGGATTTTAACCGTCTTAGCCATAAGATGTCCAACGTTGACGGCCCCAGCTAATGGAGCGCTCAGCACCACAGTAGCATCTTATCAGACAGTGGTCAGCTTTATCTGCAACACGGGATACGTACGGAACGGCTTTCTTAATACGACGTGCCAAGCTGACGGAACGTGGACTAACCCTGCTCCAACATGCACACGTAAGACGACCTCCTTGCAATTGTCTATCGAATTGGTACTTAGTTACTGCCCATATTAAGACTATTTAATACTCATTACAATTTATTAGTAACATTCCTTAATGAATTTACAACCGCAATAGATGGGAATAGAAATTACACATGCATTTTAATGATATAAAACATGTTGAAATTAATGAAAGAACGCAAATATGATCGAACAAATTTGAATTTTTACAACTTTCTGTGCCCAGTGTATATGCTTAACACTAATTTATGTTGTAATTTACATTGCAGCGGTTCAATGTCCTAATCTGATAGCCCCAACTAACGGAGAGGTGACTCCTACCGTATCTATATACTACCCAAGCAGTGTCACCTTCATCTGTAACACTGGATACCGACTCAGGGGCTTTTCTGCTGCGACGTGCCAAGCTGACGGAACATGGAGTAATCCTGTTCCAACATGCACACGTAAGATGGCTTGCAACGTTTGGGATGGGGAGTGAATTGTATTATGCTTTCACTTCATATTCTAGAGGGTGCTGGAAGGTAACTGCTTATGTACTTTCCGTTTTTAAAGCATTGTAGACACACAAGAATGCCATTTAGAATATCTTCATCTCGAGAAAAAATCCTCTAAATGACGTTGTTTAATGAATGTGTATCTATTATGTTTTTAAAGAAAAAAAATAAAACATAATATAATAAATGTTTATGGACTTGGTCCACACTTCTATTCCAACTTGGTCAGGTTGACTTGAAACACAGGAAAATGTAATTTTACAAAGTGACAAAATCAATATTCAACATTTGGTAATCAGGCGTCAATTTACGCTGTCAAAGTGATAATTTTTTATCAATACATAGAGCCTGGAGAGCCTGTATTGCGCTTCCTGTCATAAACGATATATCCATAACCTATCCTACTCAGCTAAGGGCACACGTGTGATATTTTCCCTTCAAGCTATATGTTTAATTGAATGTTTTCTATTACAGCGGTCCAATGTCCGGCTCTGACGGCCCCGAATAACGGAACCGTGAGTCCTACCGGAGCGGTCCCCTACCCAAACGGGGTCACCTTCACCTGTAACACGGGATACGTACTGAACGGCGCTGCTGCTGCGACGTGCCAAGCTGACGGAACTTGGAGTAACCCTGTTCCAACATGCACACGTAAGACGACATGCATGTTTTTCTATGCAACTAATGTAACAACGCCAGTATAGGTATATTTAAAAAGACGCCTTTTGATTATCCTTAAAACAAATGAATCACGATAAGAAAGTGTTATTTAACATTCAAGGCCAAAATGTCCGACGTTGACGACCCAAGCTGTTTATCAATACAAACATTATTTTGCCCATGGCGCATGTATTTTATCATATATTAGCACTGGCGATTAACAGGCTCCTCTTTCATCCCCTTTCCCCCTCTATGACCACAGTCTCCCCAGACACAACAACAACAGCTTTTGCAACAACAACAAATGCGACATTTGAAGATCCAGTAACGGCTACAGCAGGCACAGCGACATTTGGAAATACACAAACGGCTGTGCGAGAAAGAACAGCAGCGTCTACAATAACAACAAGGGCAGCATTAGGCACAACATCAACATTTGGGAATACAAACACAGCTGCGTCAAGCGCAACAACGACATTGGGAAATACAATCACGGCTGCGCCAAGCATAGCAACGACATTTGACAATACTACTACGGCTACGCCAACTACAAAAGAACCTTTTGATAATACAACCATCGCTAAGCCAAGCCCAACAACGACATTGGTGAGTACGACTACGGCTGCACAAAATACAACAACGACATTTAGAAGTACGACCACGGCTGCGCCAAGTACAACAACGACATCGGGAAGCACGACCAAGGCTGCGCCAAGCACAACAACGACATTGGGAAGTACGACCACAGCTGCGCCAAGCACAACAACAACATTGGGAAGTACGGCCACTGCTAAGCCAAGCAAAACAACAACATTGGTAAGTACGATCAAGGCTACGCCTAGAAGCACAACAACGACATTGGGAAGTACGACCACGGCTGTGCCAAGTACAACAACGACATTGGGAAGTACGATCAAGTCTACGCCAATCACAAAAACAACATTAGGAAGTACGACCAAGGCTACGCCAAGCACAACAACGACATTGGGAAGCACGATCAAGTCTACGCCAAGCACAACAATGATAATGGGAAGTACGACCACGGCTACACCAAGCAAAACAACGACGTTGGGAAGTACGATCAAGGCTACGCCAAGCACAAAAACAACATTGGTAATTAAGACCACGGCTACGCCAAGCACAACAACAACATTAGGAAGTACGATCAAATCTACGCCAAGCACAGTAATGACATTGGTAAGTACGACCACGGCTGCACCAAGCACAACAACAAAATTGGCAAGTAGGACCAAGGCTGTGCTAGGCACAACAACCACATTGGGAAGTACGACCATACCTACGCAAAGCAAAACAACGACATTTGGAAGTACGACTAAGGCTACGCCAAGCACAACAACGGCATTTAGAAGTACGACTAAGGCTACGCAAAGCACAACAACGACATTTAGAAGTACGACCATTGCTGTGCCAAGCACAACAACGACATTGGGGATTACGACCAAGGCTACGCCAAGCAGAACAACGACATTAGAGATTGCAACCAAGGCTACGCCGACCACAACAACGACATTGGGAAGTACGACCAAGGCTACGCCAACAACGACATTGGGAAATACGACTACGATTGCGCTAAGGACAACAGCGACATTGGGAAGTACGAGCAAATCTGCGCCGAGAACAACAACGACATTGCAAGGCTGCGCCGAGCACAACAACGACATTGGGAAGTGCGACCACGACTGCGATAAGCACAACAGCGACTTTGAGAAGTACGACCAAGGCTAAGCCAAGCACAACAACGACATTGGGAAGTACGACCACGACTGCGATAAGCACACCAACGACTTTGAGAAGTACGACCAAGGCTGCACCAACGACAACAACGACATTGGGAAGCACGGCCAAGGCTGCGCCAACCACAACAACGACATTAGAAAGCACGACCAAGGCTACACCAACAACGATATTGGGGAGTACGACTACGGTTGCGCTTAGGACAAAAACGACATTGGGAAGTACGAGCAAATCTGCACCGAGGACAACAACGACATTGGGAAGTACGACCATGGCTGCATTTAGCAGAACAAAGACATTGGGAAATACAATCATGGCTGTGCAAAGCACAACAACGACATTGGGAAATACGACTACGTCTGCGAAAAGCACAAGAGCAACATTAGGAAATACGACCACGGCAGTTGGGGAAACGAATATGACTCTACCAGGCACAACAACACTATTAAAGGATATCACCACGACTCAAACAATTGCAACAACGAAACTTAGAGGGACGAGCACAGCTTTAACAGGAACAACGGCAGCATTTGATTATACGAATACGGCAACACCTGGGAAAACAACTATATTTAAAGATACGAAAACCGTTCCACCAGAAACAACAACGGCATTAAAAGGAACAACCACGATTCGACCGGGAACGACAAACGTATTTGTAGATACGAACACGACTCAAACAACGGCACACAGAGAAAGGACTACGACACCACCAGGCACAACAGGAATAGTTGAAGATACGACCAAGACTCCAGCAGGAACAACAACAGCATTTGAAGATACTACCACGACTCCACAAGGAACAACAATGATATTGGAAGATACGACGACGATACCACAAGGAACAACAACGACATTAAAAGATGTGACGACGACTCCATCAAAAACAGCAACGGCATTTGGAGAAACGTCAACTGCTCCACAAGAAACAACAACGGCGTTTGGAGAAACGACTAAATCTTCACCAGGCACAACATCGACATTTGAAGATACGACCACGACCCCACAAGAAACAACAACGATATTGGAAGATACAACAGCGACTCAAACAAAAACAACAAAGGCATTTGGAGGCACGTCCACTTCTTCACCCGGGACAACTGTATTTGTAGGTACGACCATGATTCAACCAGACACAACAGCGACATTTGAAGATACGACGACAAGTCCAGCAGGAACAACAACGGCATTTGGAGAAACAACTACGACTTCACCCATCACAACAACGGCATTTGAAGATACGACCACGTCTCCACCAGAAACAACAACGATATTTAAAGATAAGACTCCACCTGACACAACAACGATATTTGAAGATACGACCACGACTATATTGGAATCAACAACGACATTTGAAGATACGACCACAACTCCACCAGGAACAACGATGAAATTTGGAGACACGACTACGACTCTACCAGGAACAATAATGGCATTTGTAGAAACGTCAACGGCTCCACCAGGAACAACAACGGCATTTGTGGAAACGACCGCGACTGCACCAAAAACAACAACGACATTTCAAGATACGACCACGAATCCGCTAGGAACAAAAACGACATTTGTGGAAACGACGACGACTCCACCAAAAACAACAACGACATTTGAAGATACGACCATAACTCCACCAGTAACAACAACGATATTATTAAAAACGACTACGTCTCCACAAGAAACAACAACGATATTTAAAGATACGACTCCACCTGGCACAACAACGATATTTGAAGATACGACCACGACTATATTGAAATCAACAACGACATTTGAAGATAAGAACACGACTCAACCTGGCATAGCAACGATATTTGAAGATAAGACCACGAATCCACTTGGAACAACAACAGTATTTGGAGAAACGAGTACGACTCCGCCAGAAACAACGACATTTGAAGATACGACCACGACTCCACCAGGAACAAAAACATTTCTAGAAACGACTACGTCTCTACCAGAAACTAAAACGACGTTTGAAGAAACGACCACGACTCCACCAGGAACAACAACAGTATTTAGAGAAACGACTACGACTCCGGCAGAAACAACGACGTTTGAAGATACGACCATGACTTCGCCAGAAACAACAACATTTCTAGAAACGACTACGACTCTATCGGAAACAACAACGACGTTTGAAGATACGACCACGACTCCACCAGGAACAACAACAGTATTTAGTGAAACGACTACGACTCCGCCAGAAACAACGACGTTTAAAGATACGACCATGACTCCACCAGGCAAAACAACATTTCTAGAAATGACTAGTACTCTATCAGAAACAACAACGACGTTTGAAGATACGACCACGACTTCACCAGGCACAACAACGACATTTGTAGAAACGACTGCGTCTCTACCAGAATCAACAGCGATATTTGAAGAGACAACCACGACTCCACCAGGAACAACAACAGTATTTAGTGAAACGACTACAACTCCGCCAGAAACAACGACATTTGAAGATACGACCACGACTCCACCAGAAACAACAACATTTCTAGAAACGACTACGTCTCTACCAGAAACAACAGCGACGTTTGAAGATACGACCACGACTCCACCAGGCACAACAGCGATATTTAAAGATATGCCCATGACTCCACCAGGAACAACAACAGTATTTAGAGAAACGACTACGACTCATCCAGAATCAACAACGACGTTTGAAGATACGACAACGACTCCACCGGAAACAACAACAGTATTTAGAGAAACGACTACGACTCCACCAGGAACAACAACGATATTTGTAGAAACGACCACGTCTCTACCAGAATCAACAGCGATATTTGAAGATACGACCACGACTCCACCACAAACAACAACAGTATTTAGGGAAACGACTACGAATCCGTCAGAAACAACAACGACGTTTAAAGATACGACCACGACTCCACCAGTAACATCAACGACATTCGAAGTAACGACTACGTCTTTACCAGAATCAACAACGACGTTTGAAGATACGACCATGACTCCACCAGAAACAACAACGACATTTGGAGGAACGACTACGTCTTTAACAGAATCAACAACGACGTTTGAAGATACGACCACGACTCCACCAGAAACAATAACGACATTTGAAGAAACAACTACGTCTTTACCAGAATCAACAACGACGTTTGAAGATACGACCACGACTCCACCAGGAACAACAACAGTATTTAGAGAAACGACTACGACTCCACCAGGCACATCAACGACATTTGTAGAAATGACTATGTCTCTAC